ATATATTTTATTGATTTTGTACAGAGAGGAAGGGAAAGAGATAGAGAGCCAGAAACATCGATGAGAGAGTCATCGATCAGCTGCCTCTTGTACACCCCCTATAGGGATATGCCCGCAACCAAGGTACATGCCCTTGACTGGAATCAATCCCGGGACCCTTCAGTCCCCAAGCCGACGCTCTATCCATTGAGCCAAACCGGTTTCGGCTGAATTGATTCTTGATAAAGATATAATAATGGCACTAAAATAAGAAGTAAAGAAGGCCCATATTGAGGTGGGAGAAGTGGTAAATTCAGAAAAATTAAGGATAGTTAGAAAATGCTGAGGTTTCTAGCAGCCAAATGAGCTAATAAAACAAATCATACCAATTTGTCGGGATTAACGAATTTGCATAGCTAGTTTGCAAAAGATCATGTTGGCAAAAGGAAAAAAAAGGATATCAAGTTATTTGAGCTTCAGACATGCTATAAAGCATGCTAGTTTGGTGGTGCATAAGTTTAGTGTGCCCTTTTATCAAAAGCCTGAGACTGGGTCAAGGACACATGCATGGTTGCAGGCTCCATCCTCAGTAGTGGGTGTGTATAGAAGGCAGTTGATCAATGATTCTCTCTCATCATTAATGTTTCTCTCTCTCTCCTTCTCCCTTTCTCTTTGAAATCAATAAAAATACATTAAAAAAAAAAAAAAAAAAAAAAAAAAAAAAAAAAAAAAAAAAAAAAAAAGCCTGCGACTGGGGTGGAGGAAATAAGGAATAAAATCCTATTTACTGGATATGAACAGATAGGTTGTATTCTAAGTTCATAACTCTTTTCCTGTTTCCCACTTTCCATATCTGAATGGGAATGGAATAAGGACAAGAATAAAAATTAGAAGTCAACTGGTCTCATAATGATCAGGACTTGGGCTGTGGATAAACTCCCCTGAGCAAAATAATTCTACCTTGTCACTTCAAAAATTCATAAATGGTTTCTTGCAGTGAATTAATTTCCAGTATAGGGTCTTTGCAGTTCACAGATCTGATCAGATATGCTTGACAAGACTCTATGTGGCAAAGGCAACAGGGGGGTCCAATGTTAGCCAGAGATGTAGACAACAATCAAGAAATGTGGACCGAACGTGCTGTCATTGTAGAAGCATACTCAAGGTAAGAGTAGTGTCCACACTTATTTCAAGAGCATTCCAATAAGATTTCTAAACTATGTATAGAGCTGGGTGTCATTTTATCAAAGGTTGCTTAAAAAGAACTGTCATAATTGGAGTCTCATTACATTCTTGTGTGAGATTTAGTGGAGAGTTGTGAAACCTGGATCTGTTATGGAAATTACATTTGACTCCTTGAGTAGTTTCATGAGACGCTCCTCTGAGCCAGATTTAGCATTAAATGGTAGAGCAGCCGAAACTGGTTTGGCTCAGCGGTAAAGCATCAGTCTGTGGACTGAAAGGGCCCAGGTTCGATTCCGGTCAAGGGCATGTACGTTGGTTGCGGGCACATCCCCGGTAGGGGGTGTGCAAGAGGCAGCTGGTCGATGTTTCTCTCTCATCGACGTTTCTAGCTCTCTATCTCTCTCCCTTCCTCTCTGTAAAAAATCAATAAAATATATTTTAAATAAATAAATAAAATAAATGGTAGAGCAGGTTCTGAAATGTGGCCAGGGCACTAGCATTAAAAGCATCTTTACCCCAACTGAAAACTACTACATGGGCATGTATGGAGGACTAGGAACAGCAAAAACCCCAGGCACCTTCCTCACTCTCAATCTTTCTAAGAGAAATTAGAAAGAGATGAGCTCTTAGTGCAGAAGAGTTGTCACAGTTCATGTCAGGACTTTGATGATATCAATTATCTTCTTATGATTCATCTTAGGCACGACACACAGTAATAACAGTAGCTGACATTCACTGGGCACTTACTATGCACCAGGCATTGTGCAAAGCCTTCTCTGAAAATTATCTTACTCGGTCCTCACCGTAAAACAATGAGGTTTCCCTTTCTGTGATTTCAGTTACCTATGGTCAACCGCAGAGTCCAAAATATAAAATAGAAAATTCCAGAAATAAACAATCATACGTTTTAACTTGTGTGCTGTTCTGAGTAACATGATGAAATCTTATGCTGTCCCACCCAGGATGTGACTCATCTTTTTGTCCACACTATGTATGCTTCCCACCCATTAGTCACTTAGTAAGTGTCTTAAATATCAGATTGGTGATGGGAGAGGGAATATTCACATAACTTTCATTACAGTATATTACTATAATCATTCTATTTATTATTAGTTTTTGTTCATCTCTTACTGTGACTAATTTATAAATTAAACTTTACCATAGGTATGTATGTGCAGGCATACCTCATTTTATTGTGCTTTGTTTTATTGCTCTTCACGGATGCTGCCCTTTTTACAAATTGAAGACAAGCGCCTCCACCAGCAAAAACATTACAACTCACTTGATTGTGGTGGTCTGGAACTAAACCCAAAATATTCCCAAGGTATGCCTGGATAGGAAAAACCATAGTGTATATATGGTTCGGTACTATCCATGGTTTTAGGCATCCTCTGGGGTCTTGAAACCTATCCCCCACAAATAAGGGGAGACTACTGTACTTCCGTATCCCTATCTGATTAAATGCTATACCCCTTCCTTTAGCCATACTCTTGGCTGTGCAGCCCTGCAGCTCCTTCCACTAAAAATGCACAGTCTATTTCCCTACTCTGTCAATCTGGACTGGCCTTGTGGCTTGCTTTAGTCAACAGAATGCAGACATGATATTATGCCAATTCTGAGCTTGGGCTCAAGACGCCTCGCCATTTTCTGCTTGCTCGCTTGCAACTCTGCGATGGCTATGACAATGTGCCTGGCTAGCCAGGCTGAAGGAAGTCAAACACCTGGAGCAGAGCCGAGTCATCCGGATCACCTCTGCTGAGCCAACCTAGACCAGCCAACCCCCCAACATTCGAGAAGCCTGCCAAAATAAGCAGAGCTGCCCTTGCGAACCCAGCCGACTCCAGGTGTATCAGCAATGATTGTTTATTGGTAAAGCCCGCTGAGGTTTTGTGATTGATCATTATGCAGCATTACGTTAGCAGCAGAAACTCCTGTACCGTTTATACAGGAAGACAGAGGTAACAGAGAGATTCACTGACGCCTACATTAAGAATCGAGCTGGGCTATGAGATGCTAATGCAACTTTGCAGAAAATCAGATGCAATTTTTATATGTCAATATCTTATCACTATATTTAAAGACCTTTAAAATTCAGATCCCAGAGAAACTGATCTTGGCATTGTGGCTGATACCATTGACTAGACTAGGGGTGTCGAACTCAATCAGAGAAGGGGCCAAAATCTAAAATCCAGCCTAAATCGCGGGCCAAATGGTTTACTGAACAGTCATAAACTGTCATTGTGATGGAAACGCAGCGGAGTGCAGTGATGACAGCGCGGTGCGGGCCACATTGCAAGGCCTGGCAGGACGGATTTGGCCCGCGGGCCTTGTGTTTGACACATGTGGACTAGACAAACAGAAACGGAAACGTTTGGTGCCCGAGAGGATATAATTTCTTTGCGTGACTTGTGGAGCAGGGTTATCCTGAGACCAACCCTCATGAGTACCAGCATCTGCAGGGAACAAAGAACCCTTCCATACCAGAGCATTGCTATGATGAATGACACTGACTTTCATGTGACTTCTGCCATCAACGTTCGAGTTACATCTCATTTGCTCAACCACTGAGAGAAACAGCGAGTAGGGGAATGGGAGAACTTGAATATTAATTGCGGGACATCAATTCAATTATCTTGGTTCACTAATGAGGTGAACTCCTAGTGTATGGAGGTTGCAAGTTCAATCTCCACCACTGCAATTGGACCCTTGTGGGCACTTAAGTCTGCGGCACCAGCTGCAGCTGGATGGGGTGGGAGGAGAAGCCTGTTCTGGGGATAAGAATTACTACAGGAATTGCTCACCAGAGCAGCTCAGAAACTTGGAAGAGACCGTAGGTCATCTATTTCATTACTTGAGGACATGAACAATGTCTTTGCCATAAAAAGAAAAGAAGAATAAGCTACTGGAGTACAGGAGACATTAGAGAACTGTTTTGCACAGTAAGTAACGTTTGAATTCTTCACTCAGTAAAGTCTGTACCTGAAGTGTGATAAAAGGTTTGTTCCTCGATAACTAGGTTAAGCTTCTGTATACAGAATGTTTTAATGTATAAGAAACCAGTACTTTAGCTTTGATTTGAGGGTTGACAAAGACTCTCTCCTTGATTAAACTTTAGCCAGATTCCTGTAAGCCAGTGGTTCTCAACCTTTCTAATGCCGTGACCCTTTAATACAGTTCCTGATGTTGTGGTGACCCCCAACCATAAAATTATTTTCGGTGCTACTTCATGGTCTTAGGCGACCCTGCTATTATTTTATGGTCTTAGGCGACCCTGCTAGTGGTTCTCAACCTGTGGGTTGCGACCCGCAGGTTGATAACCGCTGCTGTAGAGTCTAAGACCATAGGAAAACACAGATGTTTACATTAGGATTCATTAACAGTAGCAAAATTACAGTTATGAAGTAGCACCGAAAATAATTTTATGGTTGGGGGTCACCACAACATGAGGAACTGTATTAAAGGGTCGAGGCATTAGGAAGATTGAGAACCACTGCTCTAAGCCTTCTTCCTTTTTTCTTTTTCATTTTTTAAAATATTTTCAATTGATTTCAGAGAAAGGACAGAGAACAGAAACATCAATGATAACAGAGAATCACTGATTGGCTGCCTCCTGCACACCCTCTACTGGGGATGGAGCCCGCAACCTGAGCATGTGTCCTTGACTAGAATTGAACCTGGGACCCACAATCCAAGGCTCTATCCACTGAGTCGAACCTGCTAGGGCAAAGCCCTCTTCTTTATTAGGCCTTGACCTTGGCCTCCATCCTGTCCTTGCCAGGCCTGCACAACCCAGTTTTAGCAAGAATCCAGATTAAGTCAGTTGGTTTTTGTTGTTGTTGTATAGGGTGTAATATCACAGGAAGGCCACAGTATCCTGCCACCCGTGAAGAATAGGCCCAAGTTGCTGTTGGTGTGTTATTCACAGAGGAGCCATTCTTCGGGCGCTCTGCTCTCTCTTCACACCCTATGATTAAGTCAGTTTAGAGAGGCTCCTCTACCCATTATAACTGAACAATATCCATATCTATTTGGTCAAACTCCGTTCCCTTGATATCTGAGCACTCTGGCCTGCCTTCAGCAAAAGTCCCCTGATCCTTGGTGTCTCTTCTTAGTAATTTCCCATCCACTGATCCCCTCAAATATTCTGGTTGGCCATAAATTCCCATCTGTTGAATCCAATCTCTCCCCCCTACTGTGAAAGTCTTCACACTTTTTGCAATAGTCCTGAAAAAAGTCTTCCTTAGCATTTTAACAAGTAACACAATATATTTTTTTCTTTAACAGGGTTCACCCTATAACAAAAATACAGAAAATTTGAGGGAGCAGCAAAAAAAAAATGCCTATTGGCAGAACTGATATATATGAATAAAGATAAGTACTTTAGGACACTATCATGAAATAAAATGATAAGGTTTAATAACTTGCTTCAGCGAAAATGTTTAAATTGGAGCTCCAATTTCACTGAATTTTCTAGAGATGACAGTTAAAGCAGAAAGATCGTCTGTAGTTTGTTTGTTGTTTTTTGCTTCAACACTTAATAGAAAATTGTTCTTGGGCAATTTCACATTTGCCTTAGTAGCTAAAGGATGATAAACTTTTTTAAAAGACTTTTTACTGAAAAATCTTACAGAGCCTTAGGTCACGATGTCAAAATCAAGGATCACTCCTCATAATGATATATGTAGAAAATACTGAAAATTGAACTCAGTGTGTGGACTGAGACAAAAATATACCTAGAAAATTGCTCTTAGATGGATTTTCTGATATTCAACTTATTTCCTTTTGTTTCTTCTGAAAATTATGGAATATAAAAATGCAATGTCCACTAGTTAGACTCGAATTAAGATTTCAACTGTATTTCTCTTTAAATATTGAAATACTAGAAGCAAATCTATTCCAACTGTTTCCTATCTCTAAAATGCTAACAGAAAAATGTATTTTATTTTTATAATATATTAATATATGAATAAATAATATCGTGATAAAGGTGAATTAATTATTTAAAAAGCCGCTGAGTCTCCTCATTATGATAGCTCTCTTCATTACAGTCATGAAAATGGTGAAAATTCTAGTATTTTTTTAGAGAGAAGCAAGGGAAGAGAACACTGGCTTAAAGCTAGATCATGTGGGCTTAAAACCTTCCTAAACCATTTTCAGGTTATACATTCTTGGGAAATTTACTCTCTGAACCTCAGTTTCGTCATCTGGAAAATGAGGGCAGTAATAGCAGTTATAGAGCCATTGTGAGGATTGAATAAATTAACTTATGGAAAGCACTTAGAAGAGTGCCAGACATTCAGTTAAACCCCAGTAAAAGTTAACTATAATACTTTATTACCATTGCCATATTTTTTAAAACATTATAGCCTGACCATCAGTCACACTAGGCCCATGGAGACCATCCCTTCCCAGCCATCACTAGAATCTTCACCTGCTCTCCATGGATGTGGATCTCTATGTGGGAGCATTTATTCACATATTACACATATCAATTCTCATCTTCTATATATATAAAAAGCTAATATGCAAAGTGTCCCCTTGGGAGTGCAAACTGGGAGAACGGGAGTTTGATCACTTGCTATGATGTGCACTGACCACCAGAGGGTTGTACGGAGCATGGCAGGCCACCAGTGTTGGTAGCGGGGCACTGAGGGAGCAAGGGAAGGAGGAGGCAGGGGGGCAGGGAGGCGGGGAACCTAATTGGCCCTGATCACCAGCCAGGCCTAGGGACTCTACTCATGCACGAATGTCGTGCACCAGGCCTCTAGTTAATAATAAAAAGGAAAAGGAAGAGAAAAATTATAAGTAATAACTTTAGACATCCCTCTTCCTCTCATGCACACACATAACCCTCCCCAATCCTTTCTCCAGTCATGTAGAGGTCATGAACTTACAGAACAGAGTGTGTCACAGTGGCACTGGAGCAACATCTCTATTTATAGTGACGGTACATCATGGATTCACTAAAGGAGTCCCACTTTCATACCCTGTGTATAACTTTCCACACAATGTCTTCAACATTCAGCTAATATGCTATATTTTAAAATTATGCATGACCTTCAACTAAATAACAAAAAATTAAAAGAAGTTCTCTGAATACTAGGTCCTGATTTGGAGTTCTGAAGATTGGAAAGAGAATGTTAGTGCTTAAAAGCACAAAATTGTATTCCCCAGGATATATTAAGCTTGGCTTCCAAAGTATTGACCAAGATTTAAAATGTGGGATAAAAATCCATATTTCTGACTTTCCTAAAAAACACTCCAGAATCCTAGTAACCCTTGATAGGCATCTGCAACAAGACAGCCTGAGCTGAACCATGGGTAGCGCATTCATGCCTCTCCATCACTCTTGTGTCCCAAACACCGAGCCCCAGAGACAATTACCATTCATTGTTGGACTTGCCCTGGTTTTTGCTGATACCCAGCCAGCTTTATTCATGTATGTTATTTAATGTTCCTAATTGACTCTGAGGGTATTTGAACTTGGATCCTCTGGCTTTGCACTTCCCAGGCACTAAACATCTTGAACTTCCAGGCTCCACCCAACCCAGTCCCTGATCCAACGAGAACCAAGCCTCCAAGATGCTTACATCAGAGTAGGGTCTGGAATTCCCCTCCTCCTCTAAGCTGATATGCCAGAGAACCTGAAACATCTTCATCAGGTAGCAGCTTGGCTGTCACTCCTATTTCCAGGCCATGAATCCCGGTGTTGGTTGAGTCCTTCCCTGCTGATGTCAGAGTCCTCCATGAACCTAGCAGGTCAGGAACCGAGGACCTCACCTCCCGAATCCTGGCTACTAGCACCTGCTCACCCGGGGACTGAGCTCTGCTACACTGAACTCACGAGATCCCTCTTCAATTCTTTAGATGGTCACTGCTCAATATGGTAACCACATGTCCAATATAAGAGCCATACATGGCAATTGAAATGTGGCTAATCCAAACTGAGATGTGCTACAAGTATAAAATACATATGGGATTTCAAAAACTTAGTATGAAATGAAGTATATAAACTATAACACCAATAACTTTTATATTCATTACTTGTTAAAATGCTCTCTCCCAAACTCTATGACAAAGGGTGCTAACCTGCCATTCAGAGTCTCTAGAAACAGAAATACTGAGAAGCAGGAAGTCCCTTGGAGGAACCTAGATACCACTTTCCAAAGGAAAACTAAATAGTTGGGAGATGGAAGCCTGGAGGCCCTCACACAGGCTTTGGGGCAGTCCACTTAAACCAATTTGAATCAGGGAAAAGTTTCAATGATCTGAAAACTGAAGAGGTTCCTGTACTAATGCAATGGACTTTTGTAAATGAAGTACTGCTGTCCAACTCAGCAGCCTGCCCTGCTCACGTGAATCACCAGGACAGGGTTTCTTAGTGGTTAACTGCAAATGAATGATGTGAAGGCCTTGCTACTCCAAGTATCCCTGGAATTGCAACATCAGCATCACTTGGGAGCTTGTTATGCAAATTCTTGGGGCTTACCCCAGACCCAAGTTAAAAGGATCCTTGTTAAATGCAATGAGATCCTCCTGTGATTCCTGTACAGAGCAGAGACTGAGAAGTACCTGAAGTTTAACCTTCTGACTGTGTTCATTTGCTTAACAACAGATTTTTGTAAATAAAGCAAAGGCAGCCTTCTGTCTGAGTTTGAGTCCCAATGGGGATCTTTCTGTTTTTCTTTTTCTTTGGGCTGTAACTACCGTAAAAATAAAAAATATTTTGTGTGTAAATAAATCAGTAGTTCCAGGTAGTTATTATATGGGAGCCCTGTAGCAGGGATGGGAGCCCTGTAACAGGGTATGAAAAACAAAAATAAAATCAGATAGATAAAAGGTAAAATTCATATAGATATTTCTCATGTAAGTTTCCAATTTAAGTTTTCCCTGAGGCAAACAACTTCAGCTTAAAGGATGCAAATAAATTTATGCAAAATAGATGAGTATCTATGTAACTATCATGCCTCCATGCCCATGTACATTAAAATAAGGGGTGGAGGGTGGGAATGCCAAAATCAACTTTGTTTTAGAATGTCACACGCGAACATGAAAAAGTCCCACTACATATAAAAAAAACCACCCTTATTTTTATATCCTTCCAAGAGGTTACATTACCACTGTGATTATCTGATAAATTTCAACCCATTTACTCCAACCAAGGAGTGAAAGAAAGCACACAATGGGAATATTGAGTTATTTTGAAATAAGACATCAATTCTTCAGGATTATATGCAAGGAGAGCACTTTCAGGTTCAAATATAAAATCTCAAACATGGCTTAATTCTCCAAAGTATCAAAACACATAGAAAATCCAGGTAAATGCATTTAGATTCATGGCATTCCAAAACGAACTTCGGCACATAATACATAGTTATGCATTACATATCAACACATAACACCAACCAGTTGGTATTATGTAGCAGCCCATAATACCAACCACGTGAAATAGCATAACAGATTTTCTTTCTCTTTGCCTTGAAATTCAACCTGCATCCAAGCTGCTCATATATTTGTATATGGTTGACTATAATGGACTGTTATTAGTGAAGGGGAGCAAAAATCTACCACCCCAAAATATGCCTCTTTGTCACAGTAATTATCATATTTGGGGCTGATTAGTTTTGAGAGGTCCCAGACACAAGAGAAGCTCTAAAAAGAGAGAAGTTACCTTTTTGTGAGAGAAATTAACGTTTGCAACAAAAATCTCCATTGTAAGGGTGTCTGCCTCTGTGTCCCAGGAAGAAAAGGATGACTGTGTCTCCAGAAACCTTATCACTGGAGAAGGCACGGACTTAAATCTGCACAACCACCTTACCTTCCTTTACCTGCTTTTCCTGGTCCCCTCCCAGAACGGCCCCTCCCACTCCGACCTCTTTGTCTTTAGCTGGGGACGGTATGTAAGGTGGTGCTTTGGCCTGTTTCCGGGCCTTATCTGTCTGGGTCCTCCCGTGTATACAGGAGGTATACGAGTTACTAAACTTGTGTCTGTTTTTATCCTGCTAACTGGCCTTTGATTATGGGGAATCTTAGAACCTAAAAGGAGAGAGGGAAAATCATTTTGTCCTCCCTTACATTAGCTAATCATGCCTAGATATTTTGCTTCGAGCCATTTGTAAAAAATATTTCTAGCCTGATTGGATCAGTAAGATAGAGCGTCAGCTTGCAGACTGAAGGGTCTCGGGTTCAATTCTGGTCAAGGGCACATGCCCAGGTTGCGGGCTCAATCCCCAGTATAGGGGCGTGCAGGAGGCAGCCAATCAATGATTCCCGCTCATCATGTGTCTATCTTTCTCTCCCTCTCCCTTCCTCTCTGAAATCAATAAAAAAATATTTTTAAAAAATGCACAGCTTCCTCCAATGCAGCTGAAACAGATGAACGAGAACATACTGCCAAGGTACGGAGTCTCTTTAAATTTATGACCTCCAAACTCACCTCGACCTTTAATGCCTCCAGGAAGCCATGCTGCATTTCCTCAGTTTCCTCATTCTCCCACTCCCCTGGACAACTATTTCACACCTTCTCCTCTCCCCACCAACCTTCAAAACTATCCTAAACTCAAAATTTATGTACCCTAGTGCCTCCTTGGCATCTTCACTTGAAAGTCTAATAAATCGCAAATTCGACAGGGCCAAAACTAAACTCCTCATCTCCTCTTCCAAACCTGGCCTCCGCACAGAATTCCCCTTATCAATGAACAACTCCATACTTCCACGTAATCAGACGCAAAGCTCTTACTCTCAGATCCCTCATCCGATCTGTCAGCAATGGACTCTACACTTCTGAATATGTTCAGCACCCACCCCCTTCTCACACTCCTACTGCTACCACCTAGTTCAAGCCACTTTCATCTCTGGCCTAGTGCCTCCAACAGTCTCCTAACTCCTCCCTGCTTCTATCCTTCATGCCCAATAGTCTCTTCTCAACAAAACAGCCGGGATGATCCTCTCAACATAAGTCAGGTGACATCAGGCCTCTGCTTAAAAGCCTGCCTTCGATCTCCACTTCACTCAGGGTACAGCCAACACTCTTACAATGACCTACAGGCCTAACAAAATGCCGCCATCCCTATTACTGCTCTGACCTCAGAGTCTATTTCTCTCACTTTCATTCCTCCCACTCCAGTCTTGTGGACTCCATTCCTATATCTCGCCAGGCACAACCATGCCTTATGGCTTTTGCTGTTCCTTCTGGACACTGTTCCCCCAGATCCGTGGTCAGCAAACTGCGGCTCGCAAGCCACATGCGGCTCTTTGGCCCCTTGAGTGTGGCTCTTCCACAAAATACCACAGCCTGGGCGAGTCTATGTTGAAGAAGTGGTGTTAGAAGAAGCTTAAGTTTAAAAAATGTGGCTCTCTTGATAGATATAGAGACAGTAAAGCAACAAGCAGACTGTCAAATTACAGCGGGGAGGTTGGGGAGATCTGGGGGAGATAAGAGATCAACCGAAGGACTTGTATACATGCATATAAGTACAACCAATGGACACAAAACTCTGGGGAGGGAGGGTATATACGGGAGGGGGGGGCATTGGTATATGTACAAAAATAATAACTTAATAAAAAAATATATTTTTTAAAAAATGTGGCTCTCCAAAGAAATTTCAATCGCTGTACTGTTGATATTTAGCTCTGTTGACTAATGAGTTTGCCGACCACTGCCCCAGATAGTTGCCATACCTAATTTCTCACCTCCTTCAAATCTGTGACAAACGTCATCTTCACAGTGAGGTTTTCCTTGACCATCCTATTTAATCCTACAACACAACCCACACACCCACATCTTCTAGCATGCCTGGTTCCTCTTTACCCTAGCTCCTTTTTCATTTTTCCAGAGTTACTGTCATCTTCTAACACACCTGTTAATTTACACATTGTGTTTTCTATTGTCTATCCCTCCCCTTCCATTTGGATTCAACTCAGTGAGGTCTGCTTTGTTCTCTTATGTATCCCATGGCCTAGAACAGTGTCTGACATACAACAGGTATTCAACAAATATTTTTTGACTGAATGAATGAAGCTAAACCTCACCTCTTATTACATCTGGCTGGGCATCAATTACCCTGTTTCCCCGAAAATAAGACAGTGTCTTATATTAATTTTTTTCTCCCAAAGTTGTGCTAGGTCTTATTTTCAGCGGATGTCTTATCTTTCCATGCGCTAGGTCTTATTTTCAGAGGATGTCTTATTTTCAGGGAAACATGGTACGAACAGCCAGGAACCATAGGTACTGAGAAATTCATTACACTGTTCTTTCCACTTTCATGTTTAGAAATTTCCAAAATAAAAGGGTTTCTTTTTAAGTTTATGAAAAACTAGACACAACGTGTTTTCTGTGAGATAAGTGTCATGCCCCTTTAGTTTTTAGAAAACGGTATAAGGAGAGAAGAAAAAACCTGCATCTTATTTTTAAGCCACCTAAAATTCGTTAAATATATTGCAAATCACTCCATCTCTGGGTCTCTGGCTTTCTCATCTCTAAAACAGAGTCCTAAGTGGAAAAACCCCTACCTTTTGTAATTACAACAGTTCAAATAGCCAATCATAAAATTATCTAGGCCCCTTTTTTTCCTCAGCATAGACTTCGCACATGTAATTTCTCCAGGGGAAATTCTGACTCTATGCAGCTTGATTTCATACTTTTCTCAGTACGAAATTTTCTTCATTGTCATGATTACATTCTGTGTTTGAGTTTTCAGTCGATATGAAACTGCTAGCGGCCTGATGGCCATCTCCATGTCAGATCTGGTTAGCTGCCGCTGGCTTTCAGTTGGGGAGCAGCACTTACCATCTCCTTCTTATCTTCCTGGAAGTGCACATCCACAAACATTTTCCCAACAACGTAAGGGAGGGCGCTTTCGATAAAGTTAACACATTTGTCCCATTGAGGCAGCAAAGTTGTTGTCCCCTGGATTACCTGTGGGAGACAATCGATACAGATTTACTTTCACTTGGATAAAACCTATGGCTGAAAACAAATCAACCTGAAGAAAACAGTCTATGAAACAGTGCACACCCCACCCATATGCATGTGTCTGATAGGAGGGCCAAAGGGAAAATCAGATGAAGAAAAAATGTACGCTTGTCCCCAGTTATATTTAGAACTAAATTAAGCCCTAGCCAGTTTGCTCAGTGGATAGAGCATCGGCCTGGGGACTGAAAGGTCCTGGGTTCAATTCTGGTCAAGGGTGTGTACCTTGGTTGCAGGCTCGTCCCCGACCTGGGCCTTGGTCAGGGTGTGCAGGAAGCAACCAATCGGTTAGTTTCTCTCCCATCGATATTCCTCTCTCTTTCCCTCTCCCTTCCACTCTCTCTAAAAATCAATAGAAAAAATATCCTCAAATGAGGATTAAAACCAAATAAAAACATCTGACAGTGAAAAATAATGTAATTCTCCATCCCTTCCAATTTATCCCATTAAACTAAGGATCTAGACCAGTGTTTCCCAAAGTGTGGTACGCGTACCCGCAGGGGTACGGGAAGAGTTTGGGGGGGGGGGGGTACACGTTGCATCGGAGTTTGGTGGGGATATGCACTGCACCGTGCTTAGCTGTGCCTAATTCTACGTTCTCATGAGTACGAGGGGTACTCAGCATCACGAAAATTATAGAAGGGGTACACATATGTCAAAAGTTTGGGAAACAGCCGAAGCCGGTTTGGCTCAGTGGTAGAGCGTCGGTCTGTGGACTGAAAGGTCCCAGGTTCGATTCCGGGCAAGGGCATGTACATTGGTTGCGGGCACATCCCCAGTAGAGGGTATGCAAGAGGCAGCTGATCGATGACTCTCTCTCATCGATGTTTCTAACTCTCTATCTCTCTCCCTTCCTCTCTGTACAAAATCAATATATATATATATATATATATATATATATATATACACACACACACACACACACACACACACACACACACACACACATATATAAAGAGTGGCAGAGAAGTAATGGTCAAAGAGTCAGGTGAGGAGGGAAGGAGAAGAAAGTGTTTCAGAACGTTGAATGAGGTCTCCCAGGAGTCTAGATTTAAGCGTCTTTGGCCTAGCAGTTAAGAGAGATTCTAAGATTCAAGATCAAGATAAAGTTAGAGACGAAACTCTATGCCTAAATTAAAGACGAAACTTTACTATCTAGTACATATGCCATGCACATTTTAAATATTTAGACTACTGAAATGAAAAATGGTTACAAATACATCACTAAGAAATATTAAAACTATAATTATAGTGAACCAGTTAAAAACACTGGGGGCCTTTGGCAGGTATGGGTCAGTTGATTGAGCATCATCCCTTACACCGAAAGTTTGCCAGTTCCATTCCGTCAGAGTACATGCCCAGGGTGCAGGCTTGATCCCTGGCTGGGGCTGTGCAGGAGGGAACCGATCAATGTTTCACTCTCACATCGGTGTTTTTCTCTCTCCCTCTTTCCTCTCTCAAAAAAAAAAAAAAAAAAATCAATAAAAATATTTAAAAGAAAAAACACATGGGGGGAAATGGGAATAAATTGACAAAAGGTGGAGAGTGAAAATAATGTGATGGTCCCAAGTATTTCCATAAATATCTTTACAGAGCCTCATCAACTCTATTTATTGAGGTCATATCGAAGGGCCATAACTGTACCTTACTCTATGTCCCTATGTACCTCAATAAAAATAAAGAAAAGAAAAAAAGTAGAGCTTGGCCTGCAAAACTCCCTCTGTCCAATTCCTAAAGATGATTTTTATTGGATTAGCTAATATATAAACTATTCCTGCATGTAAAGTTATCAAGTGATGTAACATTGCAATCTTTTTAAAACTTACCCTTGAGAATTCCAGCCACCTATACTGGAAGCGCCTGCTAAGGTTTGGAATTCTGGAATAAACCATCCTCCACACCAAATAGTTGGCAATGGTCCTGTTAACAGAGAGATGCATATTTATTATATTTAGGTTGCTATCTGATGCTCTGCAGAACACCTTAGGGAAAACTCTTGGCAGAGCCCCTTGGAGGAATCTCTTGATTAAAAAAAAAAATACTGCAGAAATTTCACTTGAAAAATGACATAAGATGATACAACGGCAATACATTTAACCAAAATTGGCTTGTTTTCACCACCTACTACAGATGGATGAAATGGATATTCCATCTCCAGGCCTCGTTTGTGAACATTTTGCTTTCCCTCTCAGGGCATGGAGTCCACTGCTGCCCAGCGTTCCATGTCTAGAAACTGTCCACACCCGCACCTTTGAATTATTAGGCAACTTGATAAAAATGCAGATGGCTGAAACCGGTTTGGCTCAGTGGATAGAGCATGGGCCTGCGAACTGAAGGGTCCCAGGTTCGATTATGTACCTTAGTTGCGGGCACATCCCCAGTAGGGGGAGTGCAAGAGGCAGCGGATCAATGATTCTCTCTCATCGATGTTTCTAACTCTCTATCCCTCTCTCTTCCTCTCTGTAAAAAAAAATCAATTAAAAAAATATATATATATTTTAAATACAGATGAATTCTTATCTCTGGAAACCAACAGCTATATACTGGCTAATACCAGTTATCTAGATCTGCACCCTGGTTCTATACTTACTAGATATGTGAGCTTGGGCAAGTCACTTACCCTTGCTGATGTTATCATCCTTTGTCATCCAATGGGGATGGCTCCTACCTTACACGGTTATTGTGAGGTTCATATAAATTAAGGACATACTTGACAAATTATAAATTCCAGATTTTTGTTGTTGTTATTCACTTCCAAACATATAAACAAACCCACATGCTCATGTAATACTCATAATACATATCTTAAAAATCCACTACACTCTATCAAGTGTTGCCTTTTTCTATAAGCAAAATATGCCTTGACCTCAGAGGATGTGTGGCCTGAGTTAACTTCTAACTCAACAGTGATGATGAATTTTTAATGACCCATCTCCTCCCAGCTGTGCCATTATCACAGTGACTAATAACACACATTCCTAAGACAGCTCTTGAGTCAGACAGCGTGTGAGAGCAGTGTGACATGATGATGATAACTGGGCCATCAAGAACAACCCACATTTGTACTAGACGTATGGGGGTGATCACTTTGTAAGTTATATAAATGTCTAATCACTATGCTGAATATCTGAAATAAATATAATATTGTATGTCAACTACAATTGAAATATTAAAAAAAAAATTTAAAGAACACTCTCATTTGCCTAGCACTCTAACCCAGTAAACATGCACACCTAGCAATAAAGCCTTTTTCAGCATATATAGCCAATATATGTGTAGTTATTTTCATTTACATAGAGATAAGCTATTGGCCGAACATATTACAAATGTTCTGACAAATGCAGAAATAGAAATTTTGAAGTTAAAGTGAAATAAAGGCAATTTCAAAAATCATTAGTTCTTCAAATACCATTAGTTAATTCTTCCAGAAACATTATCCATACAGGATTAGGATAATACAATGACAATGGCTGTAGATCCACATTTCATATAGTCTTCTTGGTCATTTCAAAGCATTTTGGACCATATCCTTGTCACAACTGGTTACACCACCACTGTTTTTACCTTGTCATCTGGCTAACCAAGATGACAAACTAGAGTTGGAAAAGAGGCACTTCTGCCAAAACTGGTTTGGCTCAATGGATAGAGCGTCCGTCTGTGGACTGAAAGGTCCCAGGTTCGATTCCAGTCAAGGGCATGTACCTTGGTCGCAGGCACATTCCTAATAGGGAGTGTGCAGGAGGCAGCTGATCGATGTCTCTCTCTCATTGATGTTTCTAACTCTCTATCCCTCTCCCTTTCTCTCTGTAAAAAATCAATAAAATGTTTGTGTTTTGTTTTTTTTAAAGGCACTTCTGCCATTTTCTTGCCATTCACTTGTGCTTACTTTACTAGTAGTATCTATAATTCCTGTGTCTCTGCAAGAATTTTTAAAGTCACCTGTCCATTTGGGGGGGGGGGGGAGGTTAAACTAGATAATCAAAGTTATAAATCTACATGTATGTATGTATAAATAGTTCTAAATTATTTTCCATATATCTAATGAAAACAAATTACTGCGGGTGACACTATCACCTCCACCCTCCATGTGTGCCATACACGGGAGATCAAATGCAGAGTTTGTGACCACCTATGCAGAACACTATAAAACCTAATTCTTTTTTCAATCAAAAATAGACATAGGGAAGTTTTCAGATTTCCTCTTGAATTCAGTGGATATTGTTGAGATATGTGCACTCCTTCTCAGAAGCCCCTGTTATCAGTAAAGTCTAGCCCTTATCCATGCTCTGTTGAGACTACTACAATACATCTGTAGTTGTAGATCATTCCCTTGGATCTTTTCAGTTCGCATTCCTAAGCAAGACAAGAAGTGCTCACTGGGCATTTACAGCTGCCCAAGTATTGCTCCAGATGCCATGAGGAATGCAAATAAATAGGAATCCAGGGCCTACATTCAGAGAACTTATCGAGTCTAGTTGGGGGACACAGGACTTCAGATTTCAGCTTATTCATATAATCAGGTTGCCGACTTGAAGGCACACACAATAAGAACACATGAGAGCCTCCTTTCACTCAATCAGCACATTCTGGGCACTTAGACATGTACTAATAGTTCTAGGCACTGGGGAGATGGAAAGGCAAGAAAGATATATAGTCACTGATCTCTGGAAGCTTTTAGCTGAGCAGGGGAAATGAGGCAAGCACATCGAGAATGCTTTTGCAGACACTAGCACCCAATAGTATGTGCCAGACACTTCACAGCTCAAACTGAGGGGTGAGAGTAAGCATCATGAGAGGGACAGGGCGTGGGCTGTGCCCAAAGGATGGAAGGCTTAGGGGGTGAAGCAAGAACATGAACTGTAGACAAGCTAAATAAAGCAGGAATAGCTTGTTTGGAGGGGGTGGTGAGCAGGGTCCTTGCTCTCAGAGGCAAAAGGCCAGCTGTAGTAAGGGAGACACAGGCACCAATGAGGATCCAGGGTAGAGAATGTCAATGGGGCAGAGCCTGGCCCTAACACAAGGTCTGTATGTTCTTCAAACTTAAAATACTGCTTGTTGGGTGTGACAGCTATGTAGATTCATAGGGACAGATTAGAACACATGTGTCAAACACAAGGCCCACGGGCCAAATCCGTCCCGCCAGGCCTTGCAATGTGGCCCGCACCGCGCTGTCATCACTGCACTCCGCTGCGTTTCCATCACAATGACAGTTTATGACTGTTCAGTAAACCATTCGGCCCGCGATTTAGGCTGGATTTTAGATTTTGGCCCCTTCTCTGATTGAGTTCGACACCCCTAGATTAGAAGGTCCCTGGCCAGCAGATATCCTATGTGAATTCAAAAAATATTCTCTCAAGGGAGCAGATGAGTCAGATTAAGTAGGGACACCGTTAGGAGGGACCTGATGGCAGTAGAAAAGACATACTGAAAATTTAGCAGTGTGGGCCTTTCAGTTCCCTTGAAATCATGGCATTTTCTGGAATCCCCACAACTGCTAGAGATGTTATTGTACCCATTTTACATACAAGGAAGCTTGAGGCCTAGAACCATTAAGTAACTCCTCATTATTATATAGGCAGTGGGTCTCCAACTTAGTAAAATCACCTGGGGAGTTTTAAAGGCCCAGATGTTGAGGCCCCTCCACACCAATGACATCAAAATCTCTATCCCTCTCTAGGGAGCCCAACATAAATAGAACCGGTGTAATAAACGATGGAGGCTTGACCAGAAGCGGTATATCTACCTCTAAGCCTGTGTGATTTCCCCGTGCTACGCAGTGACGCATGAATGCCTGTAATTGAGAAAAAAATTCCTGACCAATCACGGAGACCCCAAAAATACTCTTGACAAAGGCACTTAGCAGAAATCTGCAGGTATGAAGGAAGAACAGTATGTGAGGTCTTCATGGGCAAGGTATTACTAAAATGCTAGCATCATAAGACCTCGGAGAGCCAGAAGCTGGGATGCAGGAAGCTCGCACAGTAAGACAATGGCGCGGATAAGCTGCTCCGGTGTGTGACAGATACACTGACAGAACGTGGGGAGCACACAGCTGTAGAGTGCTAATATTACCGAGCCAGGAGCAGATCTGACCATAATGACTGAATTACTGCACCTAATGCTCAGGCACACCAAGATGCGGGGGGGGGGGGGGGGGGGGGGAATTAGACTCAGCAACAGCACTTGAAAATAGCAAATAATATCTTTGTTTTTTCCAAAAAGCATTGTCAGCAGTATGGTGCTTTCCCCAAATGACAAGAAATAAAGGAGAGAAAAGCAAAACACCTCAGAAGAGACCCACCACAAACAGAGCAGCATGAAATTGTTTCCCAGAGTCTCTGACCAGGAAGAGGTTTTTAAAGAAGCATCTGCTGCCCTTTGTTCTCAATCAGTGGCAGCTAACATTTGTATTTCATTTCAAAGATCATAAAGTACCTTTTTAAAAAATATATATTTTATTGATTTTTCACAGAGAGGAAGGGAGAGGGAGAGAGTCAGAAACACTGATCAGCTGCCTCCTGCACACCCCCCCCCACTGGGAATGCGCACGCAACCAAGGTACATGCCCTTGACCGGAATCGAACCAAGGACTACTCAGTCCGCTGGCCAACGCTCTATCCACTGAGCCAAACCAGCTTTGGCAATAAAGTACCCTTTTTGATCCTCATTACCGATGCTATTAAGGGGGGGTTATTATTATTATCTCCATTTTCAGATGAAGAAAACAAAGGTCAGAGGTCAAGGGACTTCCCAGAAGTGTCAAATCCGGGACTGACATTTGGTCCTCAAATTCCAGAGCTTGCATTTGCTCCTCTCAGTCACACTCCCTGAGGTGAACCAGTTTCTTCTCAAAGGTTCTCAAAGCCAAAGAAATCTCCCTAAATCCTAGAGGCTGCTCAGAGGTATGCCTAAGGCTGTGA